GAAGACGTAATCTTAGTGACAAAAAGCATGCAGCAGACCTCGGTGATGGCATTCCACTCGGTGACTTCTGACGGCCACGTGGGGCCCCCTTATTTTACGGAATCGGGAGGGGGTTCGCCATTACAGCGTACCTAACCATTATTCCGGCAGTTCGAATCAACAAGATGGAAGAAGGCAACATCCTGCATGGAGTGATGCTCTTCGAGGAGTCAACTCCCCGGCATACAGTAAATTAAATACAAAATCTCCTGAAACGGAGGATCCCGCAAACTGCACCCAAGGGAAAATGCCCCCTTCCTCATTAAACCTCAGCCCACACAAGTTCTGGTTGCTGGGGCGTTTTGGCGGGTGAGTCTAACGAACGTCCCCATGTGACTGTGGTGAGCCTCAGCAGTGCCAGTTGGCTACAATTACGAGCCATTTCAGACGGGAGATCTCGCCGCGCGTGCGGCCAGTCCAGGCACCGATAAGGACTGATGCAGGTGGACCACGGTGACCATATTTGGTGATAAATGTGTAAAATTGGTGTGACAATATGTGATCCAAATTTGAAATGCCTACGTTTACAAATTTCTAAGCTACGGCGTTCTGAATGCAAATATGTATTTTGTCCCAATTTATCTGCCCAACCCTGTACATAGACGCAAACATTAGGAAAACATTACGAATGCACCAATATAGGAATTCAACGTCTCATTGCAGTCCATGTTCACTAAATTAGCTATATTTTCCCGGTACGCACCTTCAGGAGGCCCTCGTTGAAGATCTGCTTCTTCCGCCCGTCCAGCCGGAAGTTTTTCGCGCCGCCGAGTATCGATATAACCAGGCTGGGCCGGTGGGGGTGGCAGAGCTGCCAGTGGTCCACCAGAAGCGTCAGCACCTGAGAGATCGGCGTCGTGTCCGACAGTCGAAGGTACTTGCTCGGCTTGCTCGAGCCCGTGTCCTCGTTGACAAACTCGACCTGGTCACCAGGTCAAAGGTCAGGTGATGGCCAAACTGCGTGTCTATAATGCCAATTGCATGCATGAGTAGGCAACAATACTCATGGCGGAAGATGCAGACAGTAATGTCAATGCATTGGCACTCTCAATCAACTCCATCGAAATAAAACATAATATTATTTCGAGTCACGTAACTTTTTCTATTTAGATACAGTTCGTACCGAATTTCACAAATACGTTGATAATAAAACAATGGAACGTGCATGTGGTACGTAATGGCTGTTGGCGCAATACGGAGCATTAGGGACCACAGCAGACGTTTGGTTGCGTGACAGTAATGCTTCTCGAATAATCCCAGCGGTCAGGTCGTGCAATTCAATTTATTAAGTTCATGACGTCAGTCCACCTCATTGGTGCTAGCCATCAGCGCCATGGAATTGAAACGCTAGTGCGGTAAGCCAATGACCTAAAAAGCTATAAGCTGTGCGAGGCTTTGCCCTCCCTTTCCGACTCACCTGCCCAAAGGCATTCGTCTTGAACTCCTGGATGGCGTTCGTTGCCGACCACTCCTCCTCGGCAATCGAAGCCTGTGCGCCATTCTTGTGCTCCGCAGGCGCCGCGCCGCACTGGCACCTACCGCTGTTATCCGCCCGCGGCTGGTACAGCACACACTCCTTTCGGTGGAAGTTGTTACCGATGAAGCTGAGCCGAATCTGCCGTAGCTGCTCCTCCTCGGTGAGTTTGACCAGCGTGCGGTCCGTGCGGCGCGAGAGGCCGATCTTTTTGCGTTTGAGCGCCCACGTCTGGTCATCGAGCTCGAACGGGGCGCTGTCGGGCCGCCCCGCCTCGAGCGACGAGCGAGACGCGCGGATAGATGAGCGGAGACTGCCGCGAAACGCGCTGCTCCGGCCGAAACTGCGGGGAGGAAGGGGATGGGGGGGGGGGGGCGGGGTGATGTGTTCTCACGCACTGTGTCGTACTGTGTCTTCTATTTATATACACTGTGTTCTCACGTACGATGTCGGTACACGAGTGATGGACGCTGCAGAGCTAGTGAAGAGGTAGCTGCGGCCCAATAGGTAGGTACGAATGAAGCATAAACAAATTAAATATCTATCAGGTAAAAGCCCTTCGACAATGACAATGGACAAAATCACATGCCTGTATAGGGTAAGGTGCCTAATTAGCGACCCTTTCCGATTGGCGACCTACCTCCTTACAGAAAAACTGGCAGGAGAAAACGGGGTAAAAACATCGTCAAAAGGTCAGCCATACTTTGGTTATCAAAATAAATTATTTTCCGGTCGTCGATGTTTCCGGTGGGACGTTTCAGGTGAGTTTAAATAAAAATGACGAGTATCTTATCCAAAACGAATGTGTTTGGGCCCTCTCTGATGAAAAGCGATGCACATTAGGATGATGCACCTTTTTTATTCTGAATCGACATTCCTTTTTCAATTGATTGCCATTTTCCCATAGTGAATCGCCCAACTGTGCACAGTATGGCGGTTAAAAATGTGTCGCAACTCATATTTCCTATTTGCGCCTGACATGGTCGCAAATAGCTCAAGAAGGGAAAGAAAGGGGAAAAGAGAGAAATGAAAATGAGGTGTTGCTGAAGCTTGCAATGTGTGGCAGGGGATGCCAAATGTCGTCACCGACTGCATGGGTGCCGAATTCAGCGCAGACCTCGAATATCATATGAGATAGCCCGCAAAATTTGGGTTTCCGCCTTCTTTTCGCCTTCGGTGCATCACGTGATCAGTTTTTAACACTTACGTAAATGTGTTGGATAAACGTTCCTGCTCAAGTGATTGAGTGCTTTGCGTATAGGTTACCTTTCTGAGATCATATTTCATCTTTTCAGGCGTCGCATTTTTTGCCATTTTTAATATGGGCAGGGGCGCGGGAACTACTTTCCGACTGGGGGGGCACACCATAATAGAGATTAACCTAGGGTACCCCCAAATCTAGTTTTCTCACCGGTTTTAGGCCACTTATTTTTCACCCCTCGGCTTTTTCAACAAAAAAAGAAAACATTTGCAAAAAAAGTGTGGTATTCCGTCTCAAAGCTGTGGGGGCACCGCCCCCACGGCCCCAGAGTTGGGGGGGCAAGCTGCCCCCACTGCCCCCCCGGCTCCCGCGCCTATGAATATGGGGAAACCCATAGACTTATTAGCGACCCTCCCCGGTCGCTAATCGGGAAGAGTTCCCTATTAGCGTTTTTTTTGCAATGGTTTGCCAAAATGCTCACTACAAATAAGTTAGTGAATATTGGGGCAGAAAATGACTTTATTTTAATAGAAAAATGAACGATCTCTCCGAAAATCAAGCCAGTGGCACCCACAGAGCGTGAGCAATGACGGTTCAAATTAAGGGGGTCGCTAATTAGGCACCTTACCCTATCCCCAAGCAGTAGGCTTTAGCGAGCAATACCTACTGGTTTGATTCATGCCTGAACGATCAAATTAATAACATTTGCTAATGACATCGGATGCCAAAAATGACAAAGGGACTCGACAACAGCAAACCTCCTCTTTAGTCTGCGACCTGTTTACATAATACCCACTCATAGAACAAACCTCTCCCTTAGCAGCCGCACCGCACTCCTCTACCCTCCAGCCTCACCTTTTGTTGAAGGAGTGGAATGTCTCGTCGAGTGCATCCTCCCTGCCGCCGACCCGGACCCCGGGCGAATTGATGACCGGCGGCAGACCCTGCGACCGCGGCCGGGAAGTCAAACTGTCCCGGCGGCCCAGCCTCGGGTCACCCATACCGGCGGCAGTCTGCCCCCGCCGCCTGTGGGCCGCCGCTGGAGTGGGACGGTCGGGACTCCGGCCGACGGTCGCTGTGTACTCGAACAGCCGTGGAAACGGGATCGATGGGCGTACGTGTGTACAGACACCGACATCGTGTATTGTCGGCAATCAAAGACTAACGCGAGGACGCCCGCGAGGCGCGACAAGGGTGAGGGTGATGTGTCACGTGTATGAGGTTTACGGGATACTATGCACTACCAACGGACGTTGCTGTAAATGATGCGCAAGGGTTCATTCACGCCCACATAAGTGGACACGAACCGGCATGGTGCAGACTGTGAATTTGATCTATGTCAGTGAGTTATAAGGTCTGCCAAAGACGATGGCCAATTTTACCCGAATTGGTGCTGGTCAGCCGCTGGTCGGTGGAACTATTTACCCGACACATTCCGTCCCGTGTGCAGAGGGTCGTAGTCAGAAAATTTATATTTCGGTTCAACAGTCGCCCACACTTGCGACTGAACACAGCAATCTGATTGCATCAATAATGGCTCGGAGACAACCAGGACTTCCTCATTATTTTTACACATATATCTGGCAATAAATGTGACACCGCCACATTCAGCTAAATTTCGCATCCACGGCCTATGATCTATGATACACATATTTACATAAACATTGGGGCGTCACGAGTTTAACTTGACGTTGCTGGCGACAAATCCCTTTGTTTCGGCCGAGCTTCTCGTATAATGTTTATTTTTCACGCGCGAAAGAAATGTCCGAACACGTCTGAATGACAGGCAGAGGATCACGACGTGATGACGATGCATAATCAGACACAGTTCAACAAATGAACGAAAGGCGATTGAGGCTCACCAGTGCGCTTCCACAAACTAACGACATTTGACAGATACCTAAACCGTACAGGCACGGTGTCGACTGTCGACCCTCGTTGCTGTGATTGATTAGTCAATAGCGGAGTTTTTACCTTGGTTTTTACCACTGTGGAAAAACCTATGTTGATGTGTGTAGGTCTGACTTTAGCTGACCATAAGAAAGCCTGATATATGTATACACATTGTGGGCACCCATCAAAGCTGTTTTTCACCAAACTTTCACCTCCCCACAAAAATGGCGAAGCGAGAGCGTTGCAAAGTTGTGGCATTTTTTGACTATGCAGAGGCTAACGTAAAAGTTGTACATTGTACGCACCCAAAATGACCGTTACGTAAATACGTCGATCCAATTCACAACGCTCAGGACCCGCTCACTAACATCAAAACCGAGAAAAACAACCATGCCTGCTTTACACTGTATTTTTAATGACACCAAGACACCGACTGACATGACAACAGCTGACAAATAGGTAAACTACCATAAGCTCACAACACAAGCAATTGGCACATGATTGCCACGCCCTAAATGTGACATCGGATGGAATCGAAGCCCTGAAATCGAGGTATGCAGTTGATGTGGTGTTCTGCCAATTCACAAATGCACGCTAGAGGTGGCAAAATGTGGACCCGAGGATCCGGTCCAAAGAACCAGTCTGGACCCATATGGGTCCAGACCGGTTCCTGGAAATTTTCTGACGGGTCCAACCGGGTCCTACCATAAACTATACATCTTGCACACTACACACTATTGCAAAATATGAAGGGAATGAAGTGAATGTTTCTTTGCACACAGTAGCTCATGAGTATCCCCAGTGGGAAATAGGCTGTTTTACATGATGCAACTAATGATTCCTACAAGTAGTTTGTATCAATTGACTTTTGGGGAACGGGTCCAACTGGTTCCGGTTCCAACTAAGACCGGGTCCGACTGGTTCCAGAGATGTCCAGCCGGGTCTGGTTCGAGTCTGGTTCCCAAATTTTTTATCTTTTGCCACCTCTATTGCACGCATCTGGAGATCATCGGCAAGGTTCACAACCATGCTGTCTCTAAAATCGGTCGTATCAAAAGATGGATGTGGGATCGCAATCACAACATGAGCCATGAACACAGAGACGCTTGACATCCAATCTCAGATCGCCTATTGCTCCTGAATGACTGCAGTGCGTAACATGTGTTTGTGGAGATTCGTCCATGGGTTAACCGGAACGCTGTGTTCAGCAGACTGGTATCGCGGCACTGGCGTCAGCTGCCCTACCGGCTGCCGTGGGCTATCTGACAACATTTCGATATTATTGTCACTGCATACATTTTTTATGTAGAAGACAGTTCATGAATACAAAATTGGAAGGCACGTGATTTTAAATTGTGATTTAACGTATTAAACTACGAAGTAAATATACATCTAGCAAAAAATGCATAAACCAAGATTGCAAATCGGTATACAACAGACACCAAGCCTATTCCAGGATTTTCGGGAATGTCAGTAGTCAACAATCTAGCAATTATGGAATTTGAGTTTCCAAGCAATACAATAAAGCCAGTTGCAGCAGCGAATAAACCGGGTAAAAGGTAGGAACGATAGTTTATCACTGTTCAGGACATAGGACGCCGGGACGCCCTAAAAAGAGGTAAACAACACCAAAATACAACATTTAATCATATTGGAATCGCCCTGTTTCGCAACGTTGGCACCGTGCCAATGAGTTGTGCAGGGCCGTGCGCACCTCACAGGACCAGGGCAGCCATCGCGAGCGACAGCCCCAGCAGCGGAGCTGTCAGACCAGCGCCCCCTGGGGCCGAGCCGCTGGGACCAGCGTCCCCTGGGGCCGGGTCGCTGGGACCAGCGCCCTCTGGGGCCGGGTTGTCGGGCGATGCCGCGGCCGGGCTGGAACAAAACACAGCCAGTCACCACATTGACACGATTGGCCACTATTCCGTCACTGTTTCGTCAGAGGATTGCTCTAAGATATTTCAGTGCCTTTGGAGCTATATTGATTAGATATGAGTTACATATCACTAAAATAAAGATGATGAGCAGCGATTTAGACGAGTACCAGCAGTCGGAACGACATACACGAGGCGGTGCAGAAAATACTGTGAGGAGACAATTCTGAATCTGATCCGAGTTCATCCTACAGGGTGTTTCACTAAAAGTGTCAAAAAGTAAAAGGTCATAATGCACATAAGAACAATGCTTTCTAAGGACATTTTTGTTTCATGCTTATAATGCTTTCACTAACTCATTATTCCAAAGTATGTATTCTGTAACACTCTCGTTCGTGTCCCCCCAATCATGCACTAATAATTTTCTATTCAATGCACGTGACAAGTATGTAACGTGTTACACTACACTCGCTTCCAATAATAAGTCAGCCAACGTCACATCCTCCTTCCTCCGAGGACATTGAGGAGGATCTGACCTCCCCTTCTGCAGGTACAGAAACGATTCGGAAGAATAGTCCCTCTCTTGGGAGCTGGGTGGTTGTCTGCTGCTTTTTCTTAATAACTGCGTCAATGAGCTTAGCCACGTCACATGAGCCTAGACAAGCCACATCTTCCCTCCTCTGGCTTAAGGTAGCCTTGACCTGCTCCTCAGTTGATATGGAGACCGGCTCAGAGGAGGTGGCTGGGTCGGCCGCTCCTCCCGAGTGCCCATGTGGGGCACTGGTATGTACAGGTAATCATCGTCAGATGATCCAGCTGCCGGGTGACTACAGGTCTCTCCAGGTGAGAAGAGGCGAAGGTGCCGCCTGTTGCGGCGATACGTCCCGGCACTATCCGTCCTCACCAGGTACGACCGGTTCCCGAGACAGCTTGTGATCACTCCGGGAATCCACTTGTGTTTCCCTGGCGCAGGCGCCATGTACACGTTGTCACCCACACTCAGCTGCTTCAGATCCTGAGCGGTCCTGTTGTAGTACGTTGCCTGTTTCTGTTGCCGGTCGACTAGCTTACTCGGGACCTGTCGAACAGTTTCCGGCACCAGCAGTCGTGATGACGTTGGAAGTAGGGTCTTCGTCCGACGGCCGAAGAGTCGCTGTGCAGGTGAGCTCCCGATTCTCTCTGTCGGGGTGTTGCGCCAGTCCAGAAGTGCGAGATATGGATCGCGGCTATCTTCCTGAGCTTTGATCATCAGACTTTTCAGTATTTTGACAGCACTCTCTGCTTTTCCATTCGACTGTGGATAGCCTGGCGAGCTGGTGACGTGTTTAAACTCATACAGCTGAGAAAAGGATTTGAACTCTGCAGAGTTGAACGGAGGACCATTGTCACTCATCACCTTGTCAGGAATTCCGTGCCTTGCCATTTGAATCTTGAGTAGTCTCACGATATCACTTGCCCTCTTGCTGATGAGGCGATCAACTTCGATGAAGTCAGAGTAAACATCTACTGTTACTAGGTATGAGTGTCCTTGAAAATCCATTAAGTCACATGCTATGTTCTGCCACGGCCGTTCCGGTACTTCATGTGACTTCAACGTTTCTTTTCTTTGTTTGCTCCCGTGGGCCATGCATGTTGTGCACTTTGATATGTAGTTTTCGAGGTCTTGGTTCATCCCTGGCCAGAAAATGGCTTCTCGTGCTCTCCTGAGGCAGCCTTGAAGTCCTATATGAGAGGAGTGCACGCGTTCTTTGAGTTTCTGCTTCGCTGCCTCTGGAATGCAGAGCCTATCTCCTTTGAGAACGAGTCCGTCTCTCATCGTCAGTTCATCCTTGACATTATAATACTGCCTTAGATGTCCAGGCACTCTGTTCTTGTCAGCAGGCCATCCCTGTTTGATCATCACCTGGACGTCTTGCAACGTCTTATCCTTCGAAGTGGCTTCTACAATCAGCTCTTTCGTCATCTTTGAGACAGGAAGCCACTCGATGATGTCCACGTCTCTCACTTCAAATTCATCAGCCGAAGCAGTCTCTCTGACGTGGCACACATGTTCAGTGGGTGCGTCAGACCCGGTTGACTCTTCATGCGCGCGGCTCAATGTATCCGCGAGATACATTTCTTGGCCTTTCTTGTACACCACTTGGAACTGAAATTTCTGTAGTCCCAGCATCATTCTCTGTAGTCTCTTTGGTGCTTTTATCAGCTCTTTCTTGAGTATAGCTTCTAACGGCTTGTGATCCGATTCCACCGTGACTTCTTTCCCTTGAGTGTACCGCTCGAACTTGTTGAGACCGTATACTATCGCCAGCATCTCCTTCTCTATCTGTGCATAGTTTTTCTCTGTCTCAGTCAACGATCTCGACGCATACGCCACAGGCTGCTCGTTTTGCATGAGACACGCGCCTAATCCATGGTGTGACGCGTCTACCTGTACTACAACATCTTCGTTTACATTGTAGTACTTGAGGACAGGGTCACGCGTGATGATCTGTTTGATTTCTGCCAGGGCACGTCCATGGACATTTTCTTCGTAGATGAAGAGATTTTCCTTCTTTAGAAGGGCTCTCAACGGGGCAGATACTTCAGCTAAGCGCGGTGAGAACCTTTGCAGATAGTTGACCAGACCAAGAATGCGCTGAACACCTTTTCGGTCCACTGGTGGAGGCATGTTGGTCACTGCACTGATCTTTTCCGGGTCCGCTTTCAGGCCTTCTGCTGTGAACATGTGGCCCATGTATTTGACCTCGCTCTGTCTCAGTTTCAGTTTTTCGAAGTTCAGCTTTATTCCGACTTTTCTGCAGCGTTCCAGGAGGCAGATCAGCTTCTGATCGTGGTCTTTTGTCGCTTCATCACTGGTTGGTCCGACTCCATACACTAATATGTCGTCTGCGATGGGACGGACGCCATCAAGTCCCTCCAGAGCAAGATTCAACCTCCTCTGGAACTCTTCAGATGCTAGGCAGATGCCAAATGGCAGACGTTTCCAGCGGAACCGGCCCCACGGTGTCCCAAAGGTGGTCAGATAGCTGCTCTCCTCGTCTAGTTCCACGTGCCAATAACCGCTCTTGGCATCACATACCGTGAATACTTTGGCCTTTGTCAGCTCCGGTAAGATGTCTTCGATAGTTGGCAGAGGAAAGTGGTTGCGTTTTATCACTCGATTGAGTGGCTTCGGGTCTATGCAGATTCGTATTCCCTTGTTTGGCTTCTGCACCGCCACCATGCTCGAGATCCACTCTGTGGGCTCCGAGACGGGCTCAATAATCCCATCGCGTTCCATCCGTTCTAGCTCGGCTTTAACTTCTTCTTTCAGTGGTTCAGGGACAGGCCTCGTTGGTAACTGCTCTGACGGTTTAGTTTTGTCTGTTTGGATGTGCAGTTTTCCAGGCAGTCTGCCGATGCCTGTGAAGACGTCTTGGTATCTAGCATGTAGATCTTCTTTTGACTTTGGAATTCCATCTTCTTTTGATTGTGGAGCCTTGTTCTCTTCCTGTGATTCCAGTGTTAAGATATTTTCTGTCCTCACGCTGATGAGGTGCATTTCCTGCAGCGTTTTTGATCCAATCAAGGGACTGAAGTCTTCACGCACGACGATGAACTCCACACTGTAGTTTAAGCCGTTCCTGGGGTTCATGACGTCCATCTTCACCTTTCCCACGGGCTTGGTGATGCTCTTGTTGAACATCACCAGTTCAGTGGTGCACGGTCTCAGTTTCCTCATCTTTTGATCACGACATGCCTTTTTGTACACATGTTGAGGTATGATGTTGGCTGTTGCACCGGTGTCCAGTTGAAACTTTTGTAGATGGTCGTTTTCCCAGCAGCAGATGAGCGAAGATCTTGCCAGACACAGATCTATCTGAGATAGCCCCTACATCTAGGGACAGCACGCTTTCTGTTCCGCGACTCGTTTGGTTTTCAGTTTCGGCGAGTTCGACTGGTGCGGTCATATGCACTTCAGCCTGGTGACATCTGGAGGAGAAATGATTTTTCCGGCCGCAAGCTTGGCATGTTTGGCCCCATGCAGGACACAGCTCTTTTTTGAACATGTGTTCGCGGCCACAGAATTTGCATCTCCCATGGCGAGTAATTTGTGCTCGCTGTGACCGTCTTGGATCCGGCACCGTTGCTCGCTCCTCCTTGTATCGGAAGTCCCTCCTTTGTGTCTGAAGCTTGTGCACCTCCGCACCCTCTCGATTTGTCATGCTGTTCATTTGTTTTTGGGTAGCTTCATGTGCCTTCACAACCGCGGTAGCTTTGGCCAATGTCAGATCTGGTTCTTGGAGCAGGCGTCGCCGAACCGACTCATCTGGGATCCCCAATACTATCCTGTCTCGGATCAGGCTTTCTTCCAAATCTCTATAGTTGCACGACTTCGCTAGTTTTCTCAGCTCGGCCACATATAAATCGATACTCTCACTGCTTTCCTGATTACGCAGGTTGAACTTGTATCGTTCGAATGTCTCATTTGTTTTCCCGATGCAGAATTCTTCGAACTTTTGCAGAACCACGTCGACCTTCTTCTGTTCTCCCTCATCTGGACACAGTCCATCGAGAACGTTCAACGCTTCTGATCCCAGACATGTGAGCAAGGTAGCTGCTTGAACCTCCGCCGTTTTCTCATTCAGTCCTGTTGCGATGCTATAATTATTCCATTGGCGTCGCCATGTCTTCCATGTTGCAGTCAGCGCGTCTGTATCTGTCAGTGACAACGGCGGCGGAATGGGGAATCCGACAAACCCGTTACTTGCCATTCTTGCACAGTGAATAGGTAGTAAGATACTCAAAGCTCACAGTACCTATTGTCTGAACATTACGTTAATATTATTCTTAGCGTGAGAGCTGGGTTACGTTCACTTCTGACACCATGTTTCATGCTTATAATGCTTTCACTAACTCATTATTCCAAAGTATGTATTCTGTAACACTCTCGTTCGTGTCCCCCCAATCATGCACTAATAATTTTCTATTCAATGCACGTGACAAGTATGTAACGTGTTA